TCGCAGAAAATCAGACATTCAATGTAGGGACTCGAAAATTCGTCCAGAGATGTAAAGCCAAACAAAATAGCTGTCTCTAAATTTTCAAAATAGAAAAGCCTCAAGATCTAGCAATTTTCTATCTCAAAATCTAGTTTGCTTGAGATATTTTTGAAATTTGGGGAAATTTTCGAACACCGGAATATATGTCAAACAAGCCGTTACGGGTCTCTTTCACATGCCAAAAATTAATAGATTATCTCTAAAACTGCCAGAGATATAGCCACTTGACTTGACGTCACGATATTTTCAGCATTTGGGCTTTAAATTAGACAAGAGTAATGTTTATGATACTTTTCAACCTCTTCCGGACTAAATATGATCTTTTACGTGATTAAAGTCACTTTTACGTGAAAAAATATGTTTTTCGTCGTAAACCGGTACAATTGCAAGGGCTCCGTCACGACGCGATGGTTGGGGGTGGGGTGGGGGGGGACAAAGGCCGTTTGAAGTCGATTCTTCCCATGCAGCACCCATAGGCATAATCTTAAAAATGTAAAATATGGGGGGACAAGTCCCCCCGTCCCCCCTGTGGCGGAACCCATGTACAATTGGACCTTTTTAACATTCATGTGACGTCATAGGTCCAAGAAAAATGGTCAAAGATGTTTCTGTGACTATATATGTATGACATGTCTTCATAAAGACTCGAATATTCACAATTTAACCCGCGCTCCGTTGGGCTCTGCCGAGCAGCGCGCCCCGTTGGGGGGGGGGGGCATTTTGGCCCCCCCCTAAGATCTCGAGAACCACGCAACGTAGCGACAAGCGGCAAACGGTGTTGGATAGCCCTATCAGGGAAATACCTAGTGACCCAATTTTATTCACCTAGGTCAAACCGATGACGTCACAGGTCAGGTCAAAGGTCCAATTTTCACCGTTTACAGGCATTTCAAGAAATGCGTTGTAAAATCGAGTAAAATGCATTTCATTGAAAATCATCGATGAGGAAATGTTCTTCAAACACATATTTTGCTAGTTGAGGTCACTGATACCAGGTCAGGTCACTGAGGTCAGGTCACTGGGGGGTCACAATATGAAAGTGTCGTGTGATACATGTTTTATGGTCCATTTTACATGACAAATGCGATTATGTGGGTCAGGCAGCCTTTAGGGCCAGCTTAGGTCACGTTTTGGTCAAGATCAGGTCAAGGTCAGGTCAAGGTCAGGTCAAATAAGGTCAAATTTCAAAGTTGATATTTTTGCATAAAATGGGTATCGAATCGATGCAGCTCGTCACGGGGAGTTCAATGGTGGTCTTTGTTTTGCCGTACGAGGTCTAGAATCGCTAAAAATTGAGTTCAAAAATTTGACGTCATCATTTTTGAACAGTTTTTTCGCTATAACTTGGCCAAAAAACGAGATATCGATCTGAAATTTGGTATGTATGTAGAAGAGCGCAGGGACTATCACATATATTCCGGTTTTTTCGAAATTCGGAAAATTTTGGATTTTTTTTAAGTTTTTCTAAAAAAATCAATTTTTTGAAATTTTTTGGGTCAAAAACCCAAAATTTTGAAATTCCGAGATAGCAGTTTTGTAGCGCCGCTTTTTGTCTATTAGACCATATAAAGAACTTTGAAATTGCTTGATAACTGTAGATTTGGTGAGCGTTTCAAGATTGCATGTTTTTTGCTCATTTTTGCTCGAACATGACCTCAGTTTGACCTCAATAACTCCTGACCTAAGGTGACCTAAGACTTGAAATTTGGTGTGAAGGTGTCAAATTGATGCCCGGAAAGGTACTGAAAATTTGGCGGCGCTGCGCGCCGCCGTTTTCTTGCTATTCAGGAAAAACCACAGGGGGGGCCAAAATGGCCCCCCCCCAACGGGGCGAGGGTTAACATGCCTTTCCTTACGGTTCACGTAAGTGTTTTCTGATTGGTCGAAACTGACCTCTGTTGTGACGTCACAGGTCATCATCCATTCAGGTGACAATCCACATGCCAGAGCTACCATAAACATCATAACCAGACTCATTTTGGAAGCCTAACTTTTTATGACCGACTTCTCGTCATTGTAAATTGGACTGATTTGACCTTTATTGTAAATTGGACTGATTTGACCTTTTTTGACCTCCCTGAGACGTCACAGGTCAAGTACCAAAATCATCGATATAGGTACTAGGTTGGTGCATCTTGATGTGCTCTTTCGAATGCCGTTTGAATTTTTCCGATCCGGCTATTGGTTCCTAAGATACGACGGGGGCTCTTTGCCCCTCCCCCCCCAACAAGATGTGGAACCTGCCAGACCTCAACGGGGTGCGGGATATCCTGCGCCCAGATGGGGTCTGCCGAGCAACGCGGTCTGATGGGGGGGCCATTTTGGGCCCCCCCCCCCCCTCAGATCTCGAGAACCACGCAATATAGCGACAAGCGGTAAACGGTGTTGGATAGCCCCAACGGGGAACTACCTTGTGACCCAATTTCATTGACCTCGGTCAAACCGATGACGTCACAGGTCAGGTCAAAGGTCGAATTTTCACCGTTTACAGGCATTTCAAGAAATGCGTTGTAAAATCGAGTAAAATGCATTTCATTGAAAATCATCGGTGGAGAAATGTTCTTCAAACAAATATTTTGCTATTTGAGGTCACTGATACCAGGTCAGGTCACAGAGGTCAGGTCACTGGGGGGGTCACAATATGAAAGTGTCGTGTGATACATGTTTTATGGTCCATTTTACATGACAAATGCGATTATGTGGGTCAGACAGACTTTAGGGCCGGCTTAGGTCACGTTTTGGTCAAGGTCAGGTCAAGGTCAGGTCAAGGTCAGGTCAAATTAGGTCAAATTTCAAAGTTGATATTTTTGCATAAAATGGGTATCGATTCGATGCAGCTCGTCACGGGGAGTTCAATGGTGGTCTCCGTTTTGCGCTACCAGGTCTAGAATTGCTAAAAATTGAGTTCAAAAATTTGACGTCATCAATTTTTAACAGTTTTTTTGCTATAACTTGGCCAAAAAAGAGGTATCGATCTAAAATTTGGTATGTATATCGAAGAGCGTAGGGACTATCACATATATTCCGTTTTTTTCGAAATTCGAAAAAAAAATTGGAAATTTTTTTAGTTTTTCTAAAAAAATCAATTTTTTTATTTTTGGGGGCCGAACTAGCAGTGAACTATGCCAAACTGTCGAAGTCGGTTGCACTATTACTGAATTGTGTGCACTCTTTCTATATTGGACCGTGCAAAGGTGTATGCCTATAGAGGAATTTTAAACATTGCAATATGTATAAGCTCACTGTTCGAGCCTCTGGCTACTCTTTCTGCTCGGCAGACAATCAAGCTCATTATACTTTGAATTATGTGGGTCCAGTCTCACAGTATAATGACCGGTACTTGTGCGTCGTCGGTATATTATAAATTGCACAATAAAGCACGCCATCTTTGCACGCGCAGCAGCAGCTGTCGCCTCGGTGATCTGTCGTCGCGCCGGTGTGCCCGCACCTGCTAATTAATCCCACCATCAGCAAATGTCCGGCGACAGCGCGCGCTTTGAAGTGTTGCGTCGCAGCCAAGGCCGAGCCGTTCACGCCTGCTCGGAGGTCGAGTCGGGCTTTCCAGCTGCGATCAAAGGTGCCGTCGGGAGCAGCGTCGTCACCGAACCGGTCCGGTACTCGGCCACAGAAGCCAGCCGCACGTGCTGCAGCGGTAGCCACCAGAGCCGTGTTCCCTGGAAGCGCGAAGAACTTCTGTGCGTGCGCGTGCGGGGCGACCGGTGACTGGTGCCTGGCGGTGTCCAAGAAGCGGTCCGTCCCGTTGGAGCCCGGAGGCCGCCGATGCACTGTTCGGGGAAGAAACGACACGTGTGACACAGAACGCGACTCAGCTGATCTTGATAGTTGTATGTGATGCAATGTTTCTTTGAGTATGATGATTATCAACAGAAATGGTAGAATTGACCTTATGCTTACAATAGTTGTAAGAGAAATTGATAAGAAGTCTAATCGATTTTTCGATTAATTTTTCTAATAGTTAACTTTTATGAGCCTAAGATCACTTCTACTATTTTTATTGATCTTGGACTCTTGGTGTTTGCTAACAGTTTGGTACCTACTTGTAGAATGCTTTGAAACGCATTTCCAATATTTTGTCCACAAAATTGAGCCTGACATAACCCATACCTACTAAGTTCAGAAGAGCTCTAAATGCGACCACACTCGATGCTTTGACTTGACCTTAGCCTCTAACTTGACCTCATATTTCAGTTTTAGGAACGCTTTAGAATTTTAGATGCATCTTGATGATCCCTTTCCTCAATGTCATCTTACACGTGTCTCGCTACGAAGCTTACTTTTAGCGATAATTCTGGGCTTGTTAAGCGCTCTCGCGCCTCACTCAACGATGTTCTGCTGGAGGTTCAGCCAAGCAGCATTTGAAACTCGTCTGGCTGCAGCATATCCACCCGCTCTCATTGTTTTTTTTATCGACTTTATACAGGCACTATCCTTTGTACACTACACATAACTGATGAATTTGGACAGTGTTTGTAGTCACTGGTGACATGAATTATCCGCCAGACGACAAACAACTTATAGTTCAAAACGTTCCTAAAGAACCGGCAGAGCTGTTGCAAAGTTTGCTAGAAGGCTATATACAGAACGACCCTCGTTTTAAATGGAAGCAGGGGTCATTTTTTGTAAACATGGATCATGAACAAGAAAGTAACGTTGGGCTGAAGGGTTCGTTGTTGATCTATTGGACTATCTAAAGTGGAGGGTAAAGTTTGCAAGTGTATTTGATAAACGGTTAGCATTGTCAATGAGTGTGGACGCCTGGTAGTTACGAATATTTACCCTACACCACGACCTCGAGTTGTTCCGTTTGTTGTGCTGTGGCTTATTCGTGCTGAACTTCCATAGAGGCATCCGTAACAGGTATGGATTGCCCAGTGTCCATTCTACACATCGATCACGACATAAACGGCTCACAACTCGCACATCAGAAACCGGACAGCCTCGTTGTAAATCTTAATGTATTTGCAGAACATTGACAACAATATATTTTACATAAAACAAGGTGCGTTGGCCGCGCGGGCTAGATATACCTCACTGGGAGCTCCGGCGGCTAAAGCTACGGCGACATCACCAGGTCACTTTTGTGCGTGTGACCTCTGGTGACCTCTGACCATTGACCCGACCTGCAGCCGATCCAGTCACCGGCGCCGCTCGACTAGACTGGACAAATAGGGTAGACAACATACCGATATAGACAACGCACCGTCCATGACCATGCGTTACGTTCACCACAATTTGTACGTCGCTACATTACACCCTCGCGCACGTGCGTCATGTTACGATTTTATACGTTACATCGTATACTCTATATAAAGAAAACAGGGCGGCCGGAGAGACTCTGATGTCATTCACGACAGCAGAGCGACGGTCCTGTCCATTCACGATCTAGATATCACCATATCGGGGCAGCGGAGCGGGGTGGGGAGGGGAAGTTGAGTCGTCCCTACACTATCGTCCGTGGTGGCGGGGAGGGCGGCGACGGTGCCCGCTTGGTGGGCACGCTGTAGGGCGAGTACCGACTGACGTTGGCCGCCAGCGAGGGGGCGGGCCGCGGGCAGGCGGACACCCCCATCGGTAGGGAGGAGGGCGGCAGGCCGGGCAGGCCGGGCAGCAGCTGCCCGCCGCCCAGCATTCCCAGCGGCAGACCGACGCCGTGCAGCGCGCTCCACTGCGACCAGAGCTGGGCGGTCAGCGGCAGCGGCGCCGGCGGGCCGCGCGCGCCCAGTGCGTACAGCTGGGCGGCCGTGTCCGGCGCCAGACCCCCCGGCAGGCCCGGCAGACCGGGCAGACGAGAGCCGAGAGCGGCCATCTGGGCGCGGGCCTTCTCGACCAGACCGGCACCATCCACCTCCATGGAGGGCGGAGGCAGCCGCGGGAAGCCGTACTGCTGCTGGTCCAGCATGAAGTCCAGGTTGTCCCTGAAAAGGAGAGAGAGACAGCCGTGAGAATCAGACAGTGACAGCGGATGAGCTATGGTGGGAGCCGCGCGATGGCGGCCGGCAGACAGTTGCGGAGCGGCCGGGCTACATTCGGCGCCGCATTCCCAGGCGCTGCATTCGCCGCGGCCGCGTCACAATGCAGGCTTCTGCGGCGGCCGGCGCGGCGCGGCTCGGCTAACGCGCCGAGAGCAAACGGCCGTCGAATTAGTGATAATTCGTACGAGCCGTAATGATAGAGTGACGATCGGTGATTTACGGCGGCGAGCAGCGGCGGGGCGAGGCGGTGGGCAGCGCGCTTACCCAACTGCTCCGGCGAGCTGCACTTAACGTTTCGGCTAATGTGGCAAACGTGGGCGCGGAGCCGTAAAAGTCTGCAACGGCGATTTAAAGCCTGTAATTTCGAATTATGCCGCTCGGCGCGCTCTGTGGGGCCGCCACAGACCAACTCGGCTGATGTTTGCCGAGCATGAAAACACAATATGGATGCGCCCAGCGCTCCGTATGACGTCATCTGGGCAGGGCCGCCGAGTGGCACACCCCCGTTATGTCCGGTGGTGGTGGTGACGCACAATGGCCGGAGACACAGGTGCCGAGACGAGGCGTCCCCCGGAGCCCTGGGCATCTCTCCGCGTCAGCCCAGAGTTCCAGGCAGGCGCATTGGCAGGTTTACGTCCAAACCAAGCACCCAGGTGCTTTGTTTGGGATTTTATGGATGTTTCTAATGTTTGTTGCCGATATAATTTATTGCCGCGTTTTACATGGAAGATAGCACTGGCCAGACAACGGTCGGCCGAGCGAGCGCGAACACTCAGGCAATTAACGACGGAGAACAAAGTATGTCAGAAGCGGCGGAGCGAGCACAGATTGGGCCCACTCTATTCTCAGAGACTAAACACCTATAAGTTTTCACGAGCGAGCAAAGCAAATGCGTTTAAAGATTTATCGCCGATCGGTCATACGACCATCAGGGACGGAATGGTCATTGTGTCACGGCGCATCGGCCCGCCGGGCGGCGGTACCCTCATTACTCGGGCGGCACTGTGCGTGGCCGGGCGGGGGCGGGGGCGGGGGCGTCCGGCATACGGTATTAATGTCGGGATTTGTTCAGCGACCGCCGGCGGCCGAGCGCCAGGTAATCACGCCGACACCGCCGCTCTAATAGTGATAAATGGTGAGCTCTCCGGGCGGCGCGGGGATCGTGGACCTCAGGTAATATCGGCGGAGAGATGGTGCGGCCGCGGGGAACGATCGCCAGAGAGTGGCCACGGTGTGTCGGCGCACGGTCACGGCAACTCCGGGGAGATTGTACTGCTGTTACGAGGAGCTAGGATTGTGGTGTTACAGGGTTTACAGTTCTGGTGGTGATTTATATCGCTGGCGAAAGGTGGAGAGCTGCTGTTTTGATGCAACTATGATTTACAATAACTTCCGACGCGAAGTGAGGTGACCATAAACATTGAGTCGCCTTTTAGCCGTGCAACATTCGTCAGTTGCAGCTTTCAGGCCCAACCGTGCAAGCCCAGGAAACTATTGTCAGTCAGCACTAAAATAATAGAAATGGTCACGCCGCGGCTTCTCACAAAGACGGCGCTTACTAATGACTACAAAAAGGAAATGCGGTGAATTATCAAAACTACCACCCTAATTTTCATAATGTCGTTAATAGCCAACAGAGGCAAGAAGTGACCAAAGGTCACGTCCAATGAGAGTCCAGTAGTTATCGTTGCTCTAATGACAACTTAATGCAACCGTGCCATCTGCCGGTGTAGCCAGCGGCCACCAACTGACACGTCGTGCATGAGACGGTGAGCCGCACTATGGGAAAAACTCCACCGGTGGCAAACACGAGTGCAAAACAACGAGCACTGGACTGGGGACCTTCGGCAGGGTTACCCAGCAGCTCGGTGGTCGGCATTGCAGCGGCCGAGGCCACCCATTCAAAGCCCGGCGTGGCCGACTGAGACGGCAGCCCTGTGGTTGCACCAGCTCAGCCTCTCAGCTCGGCTCGGCGGCGCCGTCACGGTGACTGCCCCCCCGCGCCGACAGATGGTCTGAGACATCACGGACGGCTCCGCTCCCCGGCACGGCCCGCTCGCTCTGCGCCGACCGGTCCGGTTCCGGCGGTCTCTGGCGGAGGTTGGGCTCCCCCGGCCGGCAGAGACTGGCTCCGATCTATCAACACAGCACCCCGCCGGCAGACCGCCACTCCCGGTCGGCCACTGGGCTAATTGACTCGAAATCAAACGCCTCACGTTTATCTTGGCGTCGGAACAAAACATCTTAATCACATATGCAGCTCGCGCGGTGGCGCCGGTCGCTGCGGCGTGCTGCGGCGCTCCGCTCACGATCACGGCGCGCTGCGGCGAGGTGCGGCGAAAAAACGGCGCACCGCGGCGGTCGGACCACCTTTGTAGCGCCCATCGCCGCCGGTCAGGGTTTACTTAATGGCTCAGGGGAGGTATGTTCTCACCTCTGTCGGCTCTTTTCATCTCGCGCCCGGCACGATTACCTGCATATTAAAGCATAATTACGGGTCACTTGAACCTTTATTAACGTCGCGATTAATGATATATTTTGATTGCGTGTCATTGAGTGGCGGCGGCGGCCCGGTCTCGGCACGGTGTGGAGGTGCGCCCCGCCCCGGCGCGCCGCGGTGCACGCACCATCCGATCGGCCACCCGGCCCCGCGCCCGCTCTAATTAAAGGCTGTGTAAATCTCGCACCTCCGCTAATTGAAATCATGTTCTGGGCCGAGCGGGCCGCGTTGGAGGTCGCGCCGGGGGCGCCGGCTGGCGTGTCCCAGAGCAGTATCGGTATATTATATTAATTTGGAGCGAATAAGGCGGCGGCGGCGCGGCGGTTCGTTAGAAGATGCGCGCCGTGGCGGCGGATGATTACCGGGTGGGCGCCGCAGATGAGATTGGGCTCCGCGGGCACCGGCCGCCTCTAATGGGCGGCTCGGTGGCGGAGAGAGAGCCGGCTGCCGGACCACCGCCGGAGGAGGCCGGTGGGACGGAGCTGGGACAGCAGGGTGGGACAGAGGGGTGGGACAAATCTGGGACAGCACGGTGAAACAGGATGGGGAGGGGGAGCTGGGACAGCCGGGTGAGACAGTGGGACCAGTCAAAGGCAGAACTTTTATAGGAGATAATGAACGAAGTTGGGACAGGTGGGAAGAAGCAAAGCCGTTCTACAGCTGACAGAAGCATTAGTCCGCTTGGATATTGAGCCGAAACGCCACCGAACTGCTCGACACTCCGGCGACCCATTCACGGCACCATCTGACGCGGCTGAGACCTCGGACCTCGAAGCTCGTCGTGATTGAGGTTCGCCGGACCATACGGCACGTGACCTCCGGGATCGGTGGGCGCCAGCGGCGGCGGCGGCGCTCTTTCATCTAGGCCATGATGCCATCCGGGGCCTTAATTTGATGAAGATTGGATGGTGAGCCGCTCTCCAAGGGAGATTCCGCCGAGGTGTGTGTATCAGAATGGGGAGGACACCTGACGTCGGCCGATGGACGCGACGAGGCACTCCTAAGAGGACGTGCCGACGTCGTTTTAGATGCTAATATGCATTTGACGAGCGACACCTACGGGGTCGTGCGGCAAAAACTTTCTCTGTCCGCGGGCGCCACTGCAGCGACACCTGCCGTGTGGCTCCAACACTATTGGCTCAGTCTGTGCGCCCACGCCGTGCCGCGAACACTGATCCTACACATTGTTCAGCGTTCTTGTCTTTCCGATTGTTCAGCGTTCCGATTGTAGTTGGACCACATCTGGTGAGTTCTCCCCACGTGGTGGGTGCATTACGCCGAGATGGCCTGGCTGGGCCGTGGTGTCGTATTTTTATGTTCGCCCAGTGGGCTCGCGGCACTGGCAGCCGGCTCTCAGTTAGGAACTGCCAGACCAAAGTACCAGTCGCTGGCTGTTTTATATTTTTTTTCTATCATTGCCTCTAGGGCCCTTGCCGCAGGTTCCTGCACCACCGACAACTGTGGTGTCCCCTACGGCCGCAGGGGCGCGCCGCGGCCCGCGATCGCGTCGTCGGCCATAGCGCGTTTGCGCCGGCGACCGTATACGCAGTTACGCTCGTGCCGCAATTCAGGGAGTTACGTCTTATGCTGCCACCAGACTGCTAGCCTCGTATCTTGTTGTATTCATCGCCCTGTCCACGCGCATGACCTAATGTCTCTGTGCACCCAAGGCCAAGCCACCCTGACGCCATCTTGGCGGGTCCGAGCAGCAATCGTGTGACCTCTACCCAGCGATCGCGTGATCGTGACGTCAGCGGTAGGTGTGGACACCTCCAGCGCTGGTGGCGCCGCGGCGGCAGCGACAGCAACTGCTGGTAGCCACGTGGCCGCCAGCGGCGCAGGCGCGGGCGTGTCATTACGTAACCGTCATCCGCGCCGTGAGGCGGCCCGGGTGATTCACCCGCCGTGTCGTCAGCTGACCGTGACCGTGGCCTAGCGGCCTTTGGCCCGGCGACCGGACCGCAGGTCCGCAGCTGATTGGGGGTCGTCTTGCACCGGGTCTGCAGCGGGCCATCTGGGCTGGAGTCAGGTCACTGCTGGCTGTATGCCACTCTGTGGGAAGCAGCGTTAGTCGGTCACAATTTGGCCAGACGTGTACGCAATCGTGTATGCCTGAGAGGCAGCGTTAGTCGGTCACAGATTGGCCTGACGTGTACGCAACCGTATATGCCTGGGAGGCAGCGTTAGTCGGTCACAGATTGGCCTGACGTGTACGCAACGGTGTATGGGCTGGAGTCAGCTCACTGCTGGCCGTATGCCACTCTGTGGGACGCAGCGTTAGTCGGTCACAATTTGGCCAGACGTGTACGCAATCGTGGATGCCTGAGAGGCAGCGTTAGTCGGTCACAGATTGGCCTGACGTGTACGCAACCGTATATGCCTGAGAGGCAGCGTTAGTCGGTCACAGATTGGCCTGACGTGTACGCAACGGTGTATGCCTGAGCTGCAGCGCTAGTCGGTCACAGATTGGCTGGACGTATACGCAACCGTGTATGCTATATCGGTTTCGTCCGCGTCCCACTCTGGGAGCGTCCAGGGCTTACGTAATTTTGTTTTTCTCATTGCAGGCATGCTCGTCGTAGGGGACAGCTATGCTGTCCACCTCCCCCGCCGCTGTTCGCCCCACCTTGCCGTGGCGGCGGCCGGTGTTCGCGGAGGCTGCGTCAATGACGACGGCTTCAGGCGCTGGGCCATCCGGGCCGCAGTTCGTGCCCGTCCTCGCGTGGTCACGCTCGTGGCGGGCGGAAATGACCTCGCCAGAAGGGACTGCCGCGTTCAGCGGTGGCTCGCCAACCTCCAGGAACTGACGCTCGGGCTCCTGGCAGCCGGAGTCGTTCGCGTCTATGTGCTGCCCATCCCTCCGCGCACAGGCTTTCCATCCAGCGGCGTGTCGGCGCGAATTTTCCGGCGGCGGCGCTGGGTGGCCAACAAACTGTTGCGCCGCCTTTTCCGCCAACCGCCGGTGCTCCTGCTCCACTTTGTGCCGCCACCTGACTTTCTGGCGTCGGATGGGGTTCATCCGTCCGCGGCCGGGTGGCGCACCCTGGAGAGCGTGCTACAGGAGGCTATGGACGCCTCCTCCGGGATTTAGCGTGTACCGGGTCGCTCCCGTGCTGTGTCGTGTGTGTCCCCCCCCCCCCTCCTAACCGGCTGGCCGTTTAAATACACATTCCCGCTAACATCGTCGTCTATTTTCATGCGTTCGGAGCTGCTATGCCACGGGCCAAGTCGTCGGCGGGCCGTGCCCCGGCACGCCCCCTGCCAGCGCCACGGACGGACGCGCCGCGACGCGCCACTACGAGACGCTCCGCGGCGGCCGCGGCCGCGTCTGGCGCTGGTGCCACGAGCCGCCGCACGCCCGCTGCTGCGGCGAGGCGACAGGCCGCAGTGATGGCCACCACTCCGCCCAATCCAGGGCGGGGCCATGCTGCTACAACGTCGGCCGCCGCCGCCTCGCCCCCTGACGCCGCGGTCATCGACCCCGCCGCTCTTCAAACAATGGTGGGCGACATGGTCCGGGCCGCCGTCGCCGCCGCTCTACCTGCCAGCGAGCCATCACCGCCGGCGACGGTCGCCGTGCAGCGCGGTCCGGCACAGCGTCTCCAGGATGGGCCAGCTGCCCATCTGACGTCCGCCGACCACGCCTACACGCCGGCTGCCGAACTGCAAGCCGGGCCAATGGCGCTCCCGGCGGTTCTCTCCGGCGCCCTTCCGACCGCCGCCGGCCCTGCTCCACCTGCGCACCTGCCAGCGGCGCAGTTGCCCGTCGCCGGCCGTCCGCCGGCACCGGTGGAAAATGCCGCAGGTGACGACCTAGCGGCCCGCGCTGCCGTATCCCCCGCGGTGGCGGCCCTCATCGTGTCCCATCAATTCATTGACCTAAACACTCTCCTCAACGACTCTATCCCCCCGGCAGAACCAGGGCTGTTTTGCCTTATCGACGGCCGTCTCCGTCCCTCGGTACAGCGCCGCCCAATCCCGCATTTCGGCGCCTGGGCCACCGCGTTTCTTCGATACGCGGCCGTGTACTTGGCTGCCCACCCCGCTGACGCCTCCGGTCTGTTGCGCCACATGCAACAAGTGTCCTCGCTGCAGGCGCCCGGCCTTGGATTCGCGTGGCGCGATTTCGATGAGGCCTTTCGGCGCGCACGGGGCCTCTGCCCGGAAGCTCACCCATGGGGCTCCACGGCGGCCACGTCTCCCATTTGGCTCACCGCAATCGCTCGCGGAATCGCCGGTTCTCGGGCCGGGTCTGCAGCCGGTGTAAGCGGCGAGGGTCGGGGCGGCTCTAGCCGGCCGGCCGCCGCGTCTGGCTCTTTTCGCGCGCTCTGCCTCGGCTACAATCGCGCCGCCGGGTGCCGCCGGTCCCCGTGCCTGTTCCGGCACGAGTGCCGCCTCTGCCGTGGCCCCCATAGCGTGCTCGCCTGCCCTCGCCGCGCCGCCCCGGCCCTCCCCGGCACCCGCCGCCCCGGCCGCGAATGACTCCCTCACTCCGCCGGTATCAGTCCCGCCCGACCACCTCGCGCTGCTCCTGACAGGTTACGACCCCGCCCTGGCCGCGCAGCTAGTGCACGGTTTTCGCTACGGCTTCCCGCTCGGCAGCGCCGAGGTCCCCTCTGGTGACTCGGGCGGCAACCTTCCATCCTGCTCTCTGGCGCCGGAAGTCGTGGACGCATATGTCGCGGCTGAGACGCGCGCGGGTCGGATAGCCGGTCCTTTCTGTCCCGCGCCGCCATGGATCGTCCGTTTTTCTCCCATTGGTCTAATCCCCAAAAAGTCTCCGGGCTCGTTTCGGGTCATTCACCACCTGTCATTTCCCACCGGCGCTTCCGTCAACGATTTCATTCTCCGGGAGCGCACATATGTTCAATACGGGTCGGTGGACGAGGCTCTTCGCCTGATTGGGTCCTTCCAACGCCCCTACCTCGCCAAAACCGATATTGAGAGTGCATTCCGCATCGTGCCCGTCCGCCCGGCGGACGCCGCCATGCTCGGTTTCCATTGGCGGGACTGCGCATACGTGGACCTTTGCCTTCCTATGGGCTGTGCCAGCTCTTCCCAAATCTTCCAGTCCGTCAGTGATGCGCTCGTCTGGATCGCGCAGAACAAATTCGGGGCGGGTCCCATTGTTTCTGTTTTGGACGACTTCCTCTTCATCGGCGAGTCGCACGCAGCGTGTCAGCGCTCGCTCGGCGGCTTTCAGGCCATGTGCCGTGACTTGGCGATCCCGCTGCGTCGCGACAAGACCGTGGCGCCGTGCCGGTCCCTCACCTTCCTCGGGGTGGTATTGGACCTTGAGCGCGGCGAGCTGCGGCTGCCAGCTGACAAGCTGGCACGTGCCAGGGCAGGCCTCACGAGCCTGCTGGCCCGCCGGAAAGCGCCCCTCCGCATGGTCCGTGAATGCACGGGGCTCCTCAGCTTTGCGTGCACCGCAGTGCCACTCGGTCGCCCGTTCCTACGGCGCATGTTCGACTTGTGTCGCGGCGTGTCGCGCCCTCACCACCGCGTCACGATCACCCGGGCGGCCAGACAGGATATGCGCGCCTGGCTGCTGTTTCTAGACCGTTTCCCAGGCCGCGCGATTCTCGCTCACCGGCGCTGGTTGTTGGAGCCGGGTCTTATCCTGGAGACGGACGCCTCCAGCTCGGTCGGGCTCGGTGCCATCTGCGGCGAGGACTGGCTCCTGGGGCCGTGGCCCGCGTCCCTCCGCGAGGCCCCTATCAGCGTTTTGGAACTAGTGGCTGTCGCTGTAGCCGTGCACGTGTGGCGAGATCGGTTCGCGCATCGCTGCGTCCTTGTGCGCTCAGATAACTCCGCTGTGGTGGCCTGTATAACCTCTCAGTCATCTCGCTCGCCTGCCCTAATGCCATGGCTCCGATTCCTTTTTCTCACCACCGTCTCTCATAACATTCTCGTGCGTGCCGTGCACACACCCGGCATCGCCAATGCAGCAGCTGACGCCCTGTCCCGCGGTCTTGTGCAGGTCTTCAAGGAGCTCCGCCCGTCCGCAGCAGCCACGCCGACGTCCTGGGACTGGCCGGCCTGCGGCACGCTCTCACCGTTCACCAGCTAGCTGGTGCCGCGCTAGCTCCTGCCACCATTCGCTCTTATCGAGCAGTGTGGGGCCAAATCCGCGTTTTCCTCACTCTGCCGCCCACTGCTGCCCTGTTTCCCATCTCAGTGGCCGACACTGCTGATTTCCTGGCCTCTCGACACGAGCAGGGCTGTTCCGCTTCCACCCTCGCCGCCGAGGCGTCTGCCATCTCCTACGGCCACAAGCTAGCCGGCGCGCCGGATCCCACGGCGGACTTCCGGGTGCGACAGCTGTTAGCGGGATCCCGCCGGCTACGGCCGAGTGCGGACAACCGCCTCGCCGTCTCCCTGACCGAGCTCGGCGAGCTCTGCGCCGCACTCCATTTCCTAGGCCTCTCCCCGGTAGACCGTGCTGCATTCCGTGCCATCTTTACATTGGCTTTTCTTTGCTATGCTTCGCCCGGGCGAGGTCGTGCGCGGCCGAGACTTGACCCACACAGTCCGACTCAGCCACGTGAGTCTCGTCGGCCCCCAGCTTTCTCTCACCATTCCATCCTCAAAAACGTCGGCCTCCCCGTTCACCACCACGCTTCGAGCCCGGCCTGATCTTGCCACGTGTCCGGTCGCCGCTGTCCGCGACTACCTCGCGGTCCGCGGCACGGGCCTTCCTGATGACGCACTGTTTATCGGCGGCCATCGCCGCCCTCTGACATCGCGCGATCTCACTCGCGTACTTCGCATGGCGGGCCGTCGAGCTGGTCTCAACCCAGCCCGCCTCTCCGGGCACTGCCTTCGCATCAGCGGCGCCTCCCACGGCGCCGCAGTCGGACTAACGGAGCCTCAACTCTGCCACGCCGGCCGCTGGTCGTCCCAGGCCGTGCGGCGATACGTACGGCGGCCGGTCTCCCTCCTTCAGGCATCCTAAGCGGCGGGTCCCGTCCAAAGAGGGTTAACGTTGCCGGCCTTCCGACTGATGAATATGGGTCTGTGTATTCGTACGTTTGTACACCCGTCATGCACTTTGGGTGCAGATTACGCTTACACAGCCAGCAATGCATGGAAACACAGTACCACAGGCGGCGGCGGGGTGGCGGTGGACAATCGGAAAGACAAGAACGCTGAACAATGTGTAGGATCAGTGTTCGCGGCACGGCGTGGGCGCACAGACTGAGCCAATAGTGTTGGAGCCACACGGCAGGTGTCGCTGCAGTGGCGCCCGCGGACAGAGAAAGTTTTTGCCGCACGACCCCGTAGGTGTCGCTCGTCAAATGCATTTCTCCGTTCCGCTGCGCTTGCAAATGCATGACTGATGAATATGGGTCTGTGTATTCGTACGTTTGTACACCCGTCATGCACTTTGGGTGCAGATTACGCCCATGACGTGATAGGCAGGCTGTCTGTGGTGGAGGGATTGCCAAGGCGGATACCGGCAAATAGGGCATTGCTGACGGGCAAAATTATACTGCACCATTGCGGGCCGGCGGGCGGCGTCGGAACGGCGCTTCTTTCGCGCCTGGCTAATTTATTTTCACGTGTTATCCGGGCACTGACGATGTGCAAAATGTAATGATCTCATAGAGGCCTGTTGGGCCGGTCGGCTATGGCGGCGGTCGGCCGCACCAAACGGGCCGCTGCAGACCGCAGTGAGGGCGCGCTCCGCCGCACCGCGCCATCTGGGTACAAACTTTTATATTATGATAAACCCGAGGTTATTTGCATCAATTTGCTATCATCAGGGCTAATTATTATGGGCACTGGAGGCGGTGCGCGGGACATGAAAAGGCATGCCGCCGCTCGCCAGCGAGCGGCCGGTGCAGGCGGCTCGGAGGTGCCGGCCGCTGGGAGTCCGCCCGTCGGCCGGCCGGCAGCCGCGCGGCACTCCTCTCGACAGGTCACAAAAACGACCGCCGTGTCAGTCGCACTGCTGACCCAGTAATCACACGGCCGTCTCGCCAAACTAAGGCGCGACCAAAAGGCGGTCCTATCTCGGCAGGCCGATAATTCCGACCGCCGATCGCCGCCTAGCTCCGCCCCGCGCCGCACGTTTTTCTCGCCGATCGGGACCACACACGCTTTCATGTGGCCGCCGCGCCGGCCGCTGCCCGCCGCCGGCCGCGCGCGCGGCAAAAAGCGCGCGCCGCGCCGGAAGTGGCGCGTTGCGGTGATGTATGTCGACAGTGGCGCACGGCGCAGCGCGGCACAACCGAACACGAGCCTGTTTTGATCGCGCGCCGCCGCGGAGTCACCGACGCGAGACGTGCCTGAGGGCACGCGCGCCAGCGGAGACGGCCGGCGCGCGAGGGGGCGGGGCGCCGAGCCGACGGGCAGCTGCCGGCGGATAGAGGATGTGAGCGGGAGACAGAGGACGGGAGCAGCACACCTGACGACCGCCTGACAGGCTCCGCCACTGAGCTGAGAGGTGCGCCCGTCAGCCGCTGAGCCGTCCGGTGCTAAACTCAGCCACCAGCCGCGCTCAGTCATCAACACAATCTCCGGCCCGCTTTCCGACACTCACCGCTCATAATCTGTCAGCCGAGACGAGTCCCTGAAGCCCTTGGCGAACGGGTTGCTGTCGATCTTCAGCTTGGTGATCTGCAACACAACAAACGGAGTGGGATCAGTCGGCGGGCGGGCGGTACACTCAGTTTCCGGCTGGCAGCAGCGGCCAGCGGCTGCGGCGGCGGCGGCGGCGGCGGTGAGGTGGCGGACTTCAGAAGCGCCGCCGCCACCGCCGGCGCCGGCAGCCAGGCTCGCTCGCTCTGTGATCCAATTAGGCGTTGGCTGGCCGCGCGCTGACTGAGTGACGTACTGACGGGAGAGGGCGGCACAGACGGCCACCGAGAGCCCTCGAGGCGCGCGCGCTGCCGCCGGTCCGCCATGCATCACTGGCGGCCACTTGAGGCGGTGGCCGCGCACGCGATACCACGCACGTAGTTATTTGGCCGGGAAATTACCGGTCATGTGTAAAATCGGGAGAACGCGATGTAAAACAGGCAGTTCAAATGGTAAAATGGTGGAGAAAACGAACATACCGAATAGCTTTTCAGAGCAGCGTTTCCTAATTATTTTCGATCATAGGATCTTTTTTTGTGTGTCCCAAATGTGAGGAAACCATGTCCATCGGCCGATCGTCGTCGATGACGTGACAGTAGATTTTATCAGCTGACCGCGACGGTCCTTCGCGGACCATCGCAGTTGTCATCGGACCGTCATCGGACCGACATCGGACCGTCATCGGTGGGACATCAGTCGGCCATCGCTGACGGACCACCACCACTGACAATTAACGCCCCCCCCCCCACTCACCGGAAACCGGGAGACGCGACCGCGCCGTGATAATAGTGATGGACGGCCGACGGGCGTGCTGTCCTCGGACCGCCGCCATCGCCGCCAGTGCGCCGCCAGTGTCGCCGCGTCACGCGCGCCACCCACCCCCGCCCGGCGGCGAACCGACACGCACCGTGCGCCATTTTGATGCGGCTATCGGCTGTCACGGAGGAGCCGATCGGCCGCGACCGGTCTCCGGATGACAGACCGGTTTCCGAGATGGACGACGAGGGGCGGCTCTAGCGAGACAGTGTGCTTGGTTACGTTTCGGTAGCTGAATATCGACATGAACTACGGATGTCTTGAGTTACATACTTGTTAAATTATTTTTGCGTTAGTTGGAACTTCGGTGAAACAACTCAAAAACTAAAATTTTCGATGATGAAAAGACCTCAACCTTACCATTGAATATCGTGAGTTAGGTGAGTATATTGTACAAATTTGAAAATTATTGTGCGTGCTCTGAAAATTTATGGGGAAGAAGCAATATTGCAGGTTGCAAGAGAACATCGAGTCATTAATAATCCAGAACGGCGTGTAAAATTGCAGGCGTTAGCTTGCGGTAAGCCGGAATGCCGCACTGTGCTGGGGCGGCTGACCCGTCCCCCGCCGGCGCACCTGCCTCTGCGGGCCATTTGTCTCTCCCGTCCGCGACCGCCGCCCGGCTGATCAGTCTCTCCGGCGTCAGACCTCGCCCGCTAATTCCTGGCTCCCGCCCCTCCTCTGCGCGCCCGCTGATTGGCCGCTGCGGCCGCGCTGATCCTCTAATACCCCCCTGAACAGCGGCCCCCGCCCCTCATCATCCCCCCCCTCTCCGCCACCTCCGCCACCCGGCACCAGGAGGATAAATACACCGTTTCCTGGGCCATCTATCACAGCGTAAAATTCCGTGCGCCGGAGTGGAACGATTTCTATTCGTGTTTCCCAGGCTGGCCGTGGGGCGTGGCGTACAGAGAAGGGTACATCACACGTCAAGATGATTGGTTACAAAAAATCTGCTAACACCGACTACCTACTTAAAGAGAAGAGGTTTAAATAGGCGCCAGATATGCCGACCAGATCAACGTGGTCGGTCTCTATCATATTATAACTAATGTGGAGAAAGTATATTCCCGCCAAGTTCATGCAGAAATACGAAAAAGTTTAGTGTTTCCTCAATCCTCAGCCATTACTGTTCCCTATGATAAGCTTGCGACTCGCTCCATCCGTTTACTCACCAGCTGGTTCTGGTAGGCGGTGACGGCGGTAAACACAGTCTCCGGGAAGATGAACGTCTTGTGCTTGACCTTGCTGAGGTCGTCGATGGCCGAGGCGTTCATGTCGTTCTCCAGCAGCACCAGGTGTACCCGCGGCTGGTACTTGTGCATCGAGTTGAGCACGATCTGCAGCAGACGGACGCCGCGTGACAACACAATGCGTCGCCTGTGCCGCAGCGCGCCGCTGCACGCCGCGCTCAATAGCCGCTTCATCATCGGCCGGTGATTTCCATTTTAGACAAAACCGCCGGTGACGTTCGAACGGGGGCTAAGCCGGCACCCGTCGTGTGCTGGGGCCATCCGCGACCGGCGCCACCCCCGTCTGAGACAGGGGGCAGGGAAGACCACAAAGAAGCAAGAGAAATCAATTGTATTCGCTGCTCGTGATCGATTTAACGCTTCTGGGTCATTATACGTTGTGAAAGCCATCGAAGCCATTGTTCAGTGAAAGTTATTGTTTTACGTTCACAACCAGTCTACCAATCGTGACGGTTTCAAAGATCAATTTAAAGATCAGTATTACATGATTAAATTTTACGTTTAATTGTCTTGCGCTATCGTCTGCTTCGGACTTTAGGTACTGACCAATTCTTAGACCTTCAGTCATAATGCAATAACATACCTGACCCTGTTTGTCCATCTCATTATTTGTCAGTTTGGTCTTCTCGAAGGAGACCACCTGTTTCTTGAGCTGCTCGCCGTTGAATGGACAGTCGGGGTGCACGTAGAGCCGGGCCGGCGCCGGCGGGTCCGCCTTGCCGGCCACCAGCCACGACGAGCGGTGGTAGGCGTAGCGGTAGCGCTTGTTGTCGACGGGAACGATGTCCTGGATGACCGCATACCGCTGCTGGGGCTCCACGCCCGTAAACGAGCATCGCACCGTCGGAAACATGCGCCTGCCGGGGACAAAAACGACGCGTTTCAGACGGGTGGTGCGGCGAGACAGGCGGCGCGGCGGGCGGCGGCGCACAGTGGCAGGCGGCGCACGCTCCGCTGCCAGCGATGTGTCTGCGTCAGTGCGTCAGTCTGTGTGCTGTCTGCGTCAGTGCGTCAGTCTGGCGAAGTGCCTGCGTCAGTGCGCCAGTCTGGCGAGGGGCCTGCGTCAGTTTGCGAGGTCTCATGCACCAGTGTGTGTAAGCGCTAGTCTGCTCTGTCAGTCTGCCCGATGACTGCGGCCGACAGTCTGCGGTCGGTCATACGACGATCCGCTGCCGGTTCGTGTCCGGTCGTCTGCGGCTGACTCACAGAGCCACTGTCAGACCACTGGCGGCGCTCTGTTTAACAGACACCAAAGGAAGCCGCTGCGGATGGACTGGTGTCCGGTTCGTGCGGTTAGGACGGCGGCATCATCCCTCATCGGCTGAGAGCAAAGCTGTGTCGGCATCGGTCCATCCGAGCCGCACGTGTGCTGAGACGGCCCTGTTGTCGACTCGTCTTGCACGGAGCAAGTGCAGTCTGTGTGCCCCCTCTCCCTCCCGGTGAGGGTTTCCGGAGGCCTCGTGCTCCCCTCGTTTCATCAGACAGCCAGACAGACAGACAGGGGCTCTTTGAGCGCGCTGCTAGACATATCCAAACAGTGTTGGGTGTTCTTGCGGCTGCAGCCTGCCACCCGGCTGGTTGAACAGCTGATTACAGTTTGCAGAGACAACAGGGGGGCGTTCATTCATACGTGTGATCGGGCTCAATGATTGGGGCGGAGCTGCTGGAGGTGTTGGTTTGACCCCGGTGCTCTCGAGCGGCATGGCTGGGGGGGGGGGGGGGGGGAGGCGCTATACTCATGGAGTGCAACTAGAGCCTACTGTGGAGTGTGGAGCCCTCTGGGAGCGGGCGATTGTGCAGCATGGTGTCGATGTATCTCTCAAACTAGACGCTTCATCGCAGCATAAGCTCTTTAGAGAAGCTTGAGCATGACTGAGTGTCAAGGGAATTTTAAAAAGAAGATTAGTGTCTTCATTGTGCGCGTGGCATGAGTGCGCGGTCGGGGCTTAGCATCAATTGTTCCACGTGTCCTGTCGATTGTTCGCAAACCACCAGCGGAGACAATGCGATGACCTGGCGATTTGCACACACTGCAATGTCATGCATTGCGACCGAGAGCTGGAGACAAGGCCGAGAGTTTCTGGCTTACTTCCTAAAACAGCGCTCAGCTGAAGGCTGACTTCATACGACGCCAATAAAACGCCAGCGCGGGGACTCTGCCCGGCGGCCGCCGTCTCGCCACTGCAGCATTGAGCTGGCCGCATTATGCCCATTATATACAGCCGAGATCAGACGCAGAGATCACCGTGCCTCATTTCGTCCATAAAGATAGCACGCTGATCAGGGTTTTCGCCGCCCATTCGAGCCCCATAGCCGCGTCCAGTTCACTTATCCCAAATAAAGACCATACCAATCTCGTCTGTCAGGCCTTGCATAACTCAGGCGCTAATATCTCGATAGCATCAGTGAAATTTGTCATAATGCATTACCGGCCAATGAGACGGCGCCGGCTGCTGCCGTGGTGCGCCGTTAGCGCGGAGGCACGTCCATTCGGCGTGTCGCGCGGTGTCTGAGCGGAGACATTTGGCCGGGAGCTGGTCCGACTGGCGACCGGCAGTTTGGCCGACTGAGCCTGACCGGTCGCTCGTTTGGCCGACTGTGAAAGGGTGCCACTGCGGCCCGAATCGAGTCGCGGCCGCGGCGCCGACCCCGAATCGGGCACTTCCGTCTCTGAACGGGTAACGGATGCCGTCGGGCGGATCGCCGCATTAGCGCCGCCCGATGTAGGAGCAGGGAAATTCGCGCCGTGACTGAAATAACGCTACAGTAACATCGGTAACATTTCACAGCACCGTGCGGGCAATTGCACTGCTCAACACCGTGTAATGCCAGTTTGATTGTGGGGTAGGCCTTACGACAGACAGTGCCGCAAATTTCCGTCAATTGTCGTTGAGTGTCGCCGTATCAGGGCATTGCCCGCTGTTGCTACTGGCATGTATTGTGCCATTTCCCTGGGACACAGTTTGGTGGCCAGAGCTGACTAAAGCTTCTGTCGGCTGCAGCAGTTCGGAGACCAGAGCCCGCACCAGACTCGGCCCCGGCCGCCCGCGCCGCGGCTCGCCGCCGCGCCGCGGTGGGCGCGCCGTGATTGTCGGCCTGACTGCGCCGTAATGGCCGGCGCCGGCGCTGATTACATGTTTGCCGCCGACAAACGGGCCGGCAGAGTGGCGGCGAAGGCGGCGCGCACGGCACTTTTGCGGCGCGCAGCTCGCCACCCGCGCCGGCGGCGGCGGTGGCGGCGTAAGGCGGGGGCGGCGGCGGTGGTGTACAGGGCGGGGCGGCGGTGTACAGGGCGGGACGGACAGTCAAAGTGTGCCATTCTGTCGGGGTGCGAGGGAGCCGAAACACATGTACCGGAATCGTACCAGGTTTGTATCGAGTTTATACCGAGTTTGTGGCGGCGACCGGTCGCGCCCGCTCGCTCGCTGCAACCGTCATCTCTCCGCACAGCGGTGTGCAGCCGGCAGGGCCGACCACCAGCTGGGACGGTCGCCGCCCGGTTATTAAAACATCGACATTTGTTAATGGCGCACATTAAAACCAACAGCCCGCCGTCAGCAGCACGCAAACGGGCCGTGTCGCGCGTCCGGACCACCATAACTCAGTCGGAAGTAAATCACCCCCGCCGGCGCGAAATCGCACCCCACGTGACGCGCGCCGGCCAATGGCAGCGGCGCGCTGTCACCCGCCGGGGGGCGCCGGCTTTTTCCGCGCGCCGCCCACGACGCGACGGCGCGCGGAATTTGTCCCTGGAATCTGGAATGGCCCTGCGCTATGCGGGCCACCATCAGCGACGGAGAGGGGCCGGCGACCGCCGGATGCCGCCCGCCGCGCCCGGCCGTCTGCCAGGGCGCCGCGAGTGACGTCACACTCCACCGTCCACTGCGCGGAGTGACGTCACACCAGCTCTACCAGTGACGTCACTCGGGTCGCGCGGTGCGTCCGATTAGCGGCGGCAGGTCGCGGCGGCCGCTGACATTCCTTTTCGGCCGGCTCACCGCGGCTGTTATATCGGTGCTGACGCGAGCCGCGCCGGCCGAGACACATCGCGGCGACACGGCGTGCTAGCAAAGCGCATTACGCGATAGTATCGCCTTCACTGTAAAAAAAACTTACAAGCCCCTCGTAGAGGAATTCTCAGCGCAAAAATAACATTGCAGGAGCGTGTAAATTTGGCTAATTTTAGGCTAGTTGCCGAGTAACAAGCTTGTTCGACAAGGCTGTGCCTCGTATGCATACGACCACCGTGCTCCACCTAGTTTGACAACACGCACGTAAATAGCGTGGGTAGTGCGTCTACTAGGTGTCATAACAGCCCCTGCCTGGTAAGGTAACTAGCCACTGCCTACTAATCCATACCCAGTAATGGTACTAGCCCCCAAGGCTAGTAATGGTACTAGCTCAAGGCCAGTAGTGGCACTAGTTAACTAGTACCACTACTGGCCTTCGGGGTCGAGGCACGGTCGACGGAATTCCGTCGACGGAATTCCGTCGACCAGTGCCCCCGACTCTCGACCGCCACCCGCAAGTAAACAGACTGAGAAGCGCTGCAGCACATTTATTCGGGCACGAGAACGAGAACGAGAACAATAACAACGCCAGGACAATAACTATAACTTTAACAACAACAACAACAACAACAACAACAACAACAACAACAACAACAACCAACTGAATAATTTTCAATAAGGTTTCTTAAATAACCACCATCAAACATTTGTGATTTTTTCATTAGCTCTGCACCGGCGGCAGTCGCGGGGTGCAGGTAGGCCAGGACATACATGGCCCCATTCTTCACCAGAGAAGTCTGTAATGGGTGAAAAAACGAATATTAACATTATTATTATCATAAGGCATACCAATCTGGAAAATGATTAAATTAAAGTTGAAGAAAGTGATATATTCCTGCCACAAGCTAGCTTAAGTCCCAAACATATAGCTATTCTGACTTGGATAGACGATACCGGCGCACTTCTGCCAACGACGGGCAACATTATGCGATACTATACATCTTCTAAGAAGCTCAACAACATAATAACCTTTGTTTACAAATGGACAACCTTTTTGTTGAGCACACAGCAAATGATACAAGATGCCTCACCTTCAATCAAGCCAAAGAGCAGTTGGGCAGACACACACAGCAATGGCGACGCAACACAAAATGGACGCCGGCTCCCGGAAGCGGGGGGGGGGGGGGGACTCCTTCTGAAAGCAGCCACAGACTCCTAGGTTGTAACATGCGACGAGGATAGCTATGAGGCACATCCTCATAGCCATCCGAAGCCGCTTACCACGCAAGCCTGCCAGCACGTTTACCAGCTGCAGGCGTTCGTGACAACAAGCGGGGTTGCACGCAAGGTTATCCGTTTAGTAGGTGCCAGCCGGGGCCTCGTCAGCTGAGCTAATAGCGAAATGACCTAATTGAGGGACACGCTAAAAACTGGCCGAGAACAAGCCAACGGCGGGTAACACTGTGAGGCTGTGCGTAGTTCATTAACACTGCGCAAAATTAGGTTCCTGAACATGTTCTCGCTCGTAGGCATTTGTTCCACAAGCGGCATTGTTAACGTGCATGGCTCTGACTACTAATGTCCATATATGTTGTAACGAGGAGCAAGGGAGGCACTCGTAAAAAATGCCTAATTTCAAAATTAGCTAGTGAATTTTTTTTACAGTGTTGGCGGCGCGATTTTGGACTCCGCGGACGCAGGCGAGCGTGTGCTGCGGCGCGAGCGGCTGCCGGACCGGGAGCCGGATGGACGGAGACGACAGATAGACGGAGATATAGATAGCAGACGAGACGGAGACGGGAGATAAACGGGAGGTAGATAGACGAGAGATGATAGCTGGGAGATTG